ACACACACACACACACACAGCCTCATGCCAATATGCGTTTTTGCAATTTGCATATATTCAAAAACGCCTAATAAACCCAGAAGTGGTCAGCGGACCGTAGTTAAGTAGCAGCACGTCTAATATCTTAATTTTTACAGCAAACGCTTGTTATAGACACTTATTCTTCAATTCAACGGGTATTATTTATAAGCTTGAAATAACTGCACCCTACAGCGTAACAGACATCAATTTATAGAAGAATGTAACTACAAATCAGGCGGTGGTGAGGAATGGGGATTGAACGAATTTTGGCGCTCCTCACGATGATAAAAATCCAAAGACACTTTCAGACAAAATACCAAAACACCTAAAGCCAAAAGAACCCACAAGATGTTTCGCGACGAAATGTCAAAAGCACGTAAAACTGCCCTGAACACCTTTTAGGATAGTTTTTACAACGTCCGAAGTAAATGGATCAGAGTATTCGCACCGGCTGACGGCGAATCGTTTGGTAAAATAGTTCAAATTGTCGTTTGTAGATGTGCACCGAATTGTACACATCGACGATTTACAGTTTTAGTACATCTAGAATTTTTGAATAAAACCTATGTAGCAACGCGCAACAAAGTTCCCAGTGCGATCATAAGTTTTTGCGCTAAACTTGAAACAAACAGACCGTTATCAATACTTCGAATGGCTTCGCTTTACATTTAGACTGTGCATTCATTACCGTAAATTAATGTAAATTTTGCATGAAAGAAGACAAACAGTTTCCAGTGATCTGCCTTTCATTGAAAACGATCAAACTGTTTTGGCTTTCGAACTAACAATTTTCCCGTCAAAATTTTCACTCTTTCTTATGCCAGAATCAAGCGTACTCACACCAAAGTCAAGCGAATTTGAAATCCATAAACTGTATGCGGACAGGGAACATTCCCTTAAAGTTTTGGCCTCCCAGCTAGTCTCGTTCCCGAGTTAGCAAATTCCCCGCCAAAATTTTCACGTCTCAGTACGTGAGATTCCAACCTGCTTGAAAGTCGGTGCCACGCTGCTGGGAAAGCACTTGGCTAGGGGAGCTACTGCAAAAATTTTAGCGCCAAAGCCAGCTGCGAAATTTCAGCTAGTTGTGAAGCTGAAATATCCGTTCAGGTGAATACACAGACATACACATACAGATACCAAAGGTCGTCGCAATATGCGTTTTCAGATTTGCATAAACGCGTAAAAACGCATAATTAAGTGCATTTTGCCCAGACCCGTCATCCTTCTCGCTCGACTTCCTAATCACTGTCCAATTTCGTTGAAAACCGGTCAGCAGTCATGCATAGTGAGGTTAGGATTTCACGCATCTCATGATCCAGCACTACTGTAGGAAAGGATCAAAACGCTGCCAGCATGAGTGCACATATCAAACAGTAAAGCAGCAACCACTGAAACTATCTGACTGCTTCAGGTTTAGCGCAAGAATGCATGACTGCACTGGCAAGCCTGAGTGTTGCTATCTGCGCTAGAATAAAATTTGAGATAATTAAGATATTGAAACATTAGTTCCAGTAATGAACAAGTTTTTAAACAAACTGTAAATTCGAACTACGCCTAACCGACATAAACAGACGTGAAAGGCGGGACGAAAACAGTTCAGTGATTCAAAAAGGGTGGTGTAAAAGAAGAAAGTTCACAAAATTTGAAATCCACTCCGGTCAACTGTATTTAATCCCAGCACAGTTTGACAAAACCCAACTGAAACAGTTCATTATACGCAAGATCTCGAAACATCCCCAGGCACACCAAACACAAATCAGCTCATTTACACTACTCGAGCTGACAAGACATTAGTGGCAAAAGTTAAATAGGCATTATTTTTAGGTCGACATATAGTAAGGCGAAGTTATCGAAATGATGACTGAGAATTCACAAAACTACCTGAGCTCCTTCATCAAAAGACCACAATCGAAATAAACTAACTGTTGCAGGAACGACAACGCTGCCAAGTTCCACTTTAAGTGCTCAGCCTTATACAACAGTATCTGGCAGCAGCAATGCAGATTCGTCGATAGTATCAAGCACCGCAGCGTCATCACTGTCTTCAGCGATCACATCGCCAACATCATCACCTAGCGAAAGCATTTCCAGTTCGACAATGGCATCTTCCGTAGCATCAGCCACCACAACATCATCATCATCATCACCACCACCGTCAACGATGACTTCGTCAACGCTCGCATCTAGTCAAGGCACCTCCAGTTCATCGATGCCATCATCGGTAGCATCAAGCACTGTAGTATCGTCATCACCGTCAACGACCGCATTGTCAACAACCGCATCCAGTCAAGGCACCTCCAGTTCACCAGTGGCATCATCGGTAACATCAAGCACCGCAGCGTCGTCATCACCGTCAACGATGGCTTCGTCAACACTCGCATCTAGTCAAGGTACCTCCAGTTCACCGATGCTATCATCGGTAGCATCAAGCACTGTAATATCGTCATCACCGTCAACGACCGTATCGTCAACATCCGCATCTAGTCAAGGCACCTCCAGTTCACCAGTGACATCATCGGTAGCATCAAGCACTGTAATATCGTCATCACCGTCAACGACCGTATCGTCAACATCCGCATCTAGTCAAGGCACCTCCAGTTCACCAGTGGCATCATCGGTAGCATCAAGCACTGTAGTATCGTCATCACCGTCAACGACCGTATCGTCAACATCCGCATCTAGTCAAGGCATCTCCATTTCACCAGTGGCATCATCGGTAGCATCAAGCACCGCAGCGTCATCACCATCTTCAGCGATCACATCGCCAACATCTTCACCTAGCGAAAGCATTTCCAGTTCGACAATATCAACCACCACAGCGTCATCATCATCACCACCGTCAACGATGGCTTCGTCAACACTCGCATCTAGCCAAGGCACCTCCAGTTCACCGATGCCATCATCGGTACCATCAAGCACTGTAGTATCATCATCACCGTCAACGACCGCATCGTTAATAACCGCATCCAGTCAAGACACCTCCAGTTCACCACTGGCATCATCGGTAGCATCAAGCACCATAGCATCGTTATCACCGTCAACAATGGCATCGTCAACATCCCCATCCAGTCAAGGCACCTCCAGTACACCAGCGGCATCATCGGTAGCATCAAGCACCGCAGCGCACTCATCATCGTCAATGATGGCTTCGTCAACATCCGCATCTAGTCAGGATACCTTCAGTTCACCAGTGGCATCATCGGTAGCATCAAGCACCGCAGCGTCACCACTGTCTTCAGCGATCACATCGCCTAGCGAAAGCATTTCCAGCTCGACAATGGCATCTTCCGTAGCATCAAGCACCACAACATCATCATTACCGTCAATGATGGCTTCGTCAACATTCACATCCAGTCAAGGCACCTCCAGTTCACCGATGCCATCATCGGTAGAATCAAGCACTGTAGTGTCGTTATCACCGTCAACAGTGGCATCGTCAACATCCCCATCCAGTCAAGGTACCTCCAGTACACCAGTGGCATCATCGGTAGCATCAAGCACTGTAGTATCGTCATCACCGTCAGCGATCGCATCTTCAACAGATGCATCTAGTCAAGGTACCTCCAGTACGCCAGCGGCTTCATCGGTAGCATCAAGCACCGCAGCGTCCTCGTCACCGTCAACTATGGCTTCGTCAACATTCACATCTAGCCAAGGTACCTTCGGTTCATCAGTGGCATCATCGGTAGCATCAAGCACCGCAGCGTCCTCAACACCGTCAACTATGGCTTCGTCAATATCCGCATCTAGTCAAGGTACCTCCAGTACACTAGCGGCATCACCGGTAGCATCAAGCACCGCAGTGCCCTCATCACCGTCAACGATGGCTTCGTCAACATCCGCATCTAGTCAGAGCACCTCCAGTTCACCGATGCCATCATCGGTAGCATCAAGCACCATAACATCGTCATCACCGTCAACGATCGCATCGTCAACGCCTGCTTCTAGACGAAGCACTTCTGGCTCGTCGGCTCCAACAGGTACTGTAGGAACTTCGCCACAGTTAGCGACATCAACTGGCAGTAGCACTGGAGGTTTTAAATCCGTTCAGATATAATATGAGCTTCGCTTTAGTTGCTTCGGCTGATTTGCCTTGCTTTATTGCGTTTCGTTTGCCTCTATTTCATCAGGTAGTTTGGTCTTAGCGTTTGATTCTTCCGCACACCTTTGAGCGTTTACTTTTTTGCCTATACTTTTGGCATGCTTCCTTTTACTTGTAGTTTTTATGCGTTTTTGCTGTGCAGCGCTATAGCAGCGCTATAGCTGCTACAGCCAGCAAAAAACGCATATTATCGAGAGGCTGTGTGTGTGCGCAAAGCGAGTGCATTTTGTCACCCACTTTCAACTCGGCAACCAGGAAAGCTGG